ACACATACACACACACACACACACACACACACACACACACCCCTACACATACCAAGCCAGAGACATGAAGTTTCTGTTTATATTCCTTTAAATTTCATACTTACTTTGGCATTCAATAAATTCATCAGTGTTGGCCAATTCTTTGATAAAATCCTTAAAATGCACCACTTCATCTTTAAAAAAAGGGAAGTAACAATTTAGATACTGTTGTTAAAATGACCATTTGATGTTATAAAGCCAGAGCTATGAAATATGAAAATAAAGTGGAGAAATGAATTATCTTGTGTTGTATACGATATGCATGTCAGATCCAAAATAAAGTTGCCAGACATATAACTGTGAAAATAAATTCCTTCAATACAAACTCATCAATTAAAAACTAGAAAAATAGTTTTGATATTTCTTTTAAAAAATAATTTAGTTGTATCTCCTTAGGCGTTTAGTTTCTTCTGACATACTCCAACTTTGTTAATTTAAAGTGAAATAATTACTCACCATTAGGATTAGTATTATCCAAAGCTTTCTGTATTTTATCATCCGTCAGACAGATTCCTATGGCATTTAAATCTTCCTGGAGACCAGAAATGGCTGTAACATCATTTTTGTGAATGCTGTTGTTGTAAAATTTATCTTCTGGGAGGAGATAATCACTTTCAGTTAGAAAGAAATTTTCATGTTTCTCCTTTATATTTTAAAGATAGGTGGTTAAAATTTCCCAACATACGAAATTACACTTAAGAAAAATGACAGTATCATTTCTTTGTATTATGTCCTTCTCTGTTGCCAAAATAACAAACAAGTTAGCTGACAAGAAATGGACACCAAAAACAAACAAACAAACAAACAAACAAATGTAAGTGATAAAATCTGGGGAAAGGAAGAGAAGAGCAATAAAAAGAAGATAAAAAAAGAGCAATAGAAAAAATATATTTCTTAAGGTCATATACACAAATTTTGCAACAATACCAAATTTGTATACATTGAACAAAAGCCTTCAAAGTAAGTAAAGCAAAAACTGACATAATTAAAGGGGGAATAAATGATTCCACAGTAAAAATTAGGAATTTAAACACCTTGCTATCAGTAATTAATAGAACAAGTAGAATAAAAAACAGTAAGAATTAGAAGACCAGACAAGATTAGTAAATATTGTAACCTAATTAATATTTACAGAACGATACCCAATAAATGTAGAATGCAAATTCTCTCAGATACACATGGAACATACACTTAGCTAGACCATAACCAGGGTCGTAAATAAATCTTAATTAATTTAAGAATTTAAATCATGCAAAATGTATTCTCTGGCCAAACTTAATAAATAAGAAATCAGGTTTGGCACAGTGGCTCAGACCTATAATCCCAACACTTTTGGAGGCCAAGGCAGAAGAACTGCTTGAGCCCAGGAGTTCAAGACCAGCCTGAGACACAAAGTGAGACCTCATTTCTACCAAAAAAAAAAAAAAAAAATGTTTAAAATTAGCCAGGCATAGTGGTGTATGCCTGTAGTCTCAGTTACTTGGGAGCCTGAGGCAAGAGGCTGCTTGAGCTCAAGAGTTGAAGGTTGCAGTGAGCCACGATCGTGCCACTTGCACTCCAGCCTAAGCAACAAGCAAGACCCTCTCCCTAAAACAAATAAATAAATACATTAGAAATCAACAATAATTAAGATTTCTAGAAAACGGCCCAATATTTGGAAATTAAAGGCTATATTTCTAAATAACTCATACTACAAAGAAAAACATAATTTGGTAAATTAGAAAATATTTTAGTAAATGATAAAGCACAACATAACATTTGTGAGATGCAATGAAAGACACATTAGGGGCCGGGCGTGATAGCTAATGCCTGTAATCCCAGCACTTTGGAAGGCCGAAGCAGGTAATCACAGGTCAGGCAATTAAGGCCATCCAGGCTAACATGGTGAAACCCTGTCTCTATTAAAAATACAAAAATTAGCCGGGTGTGGTGGCATGAACCTGTAATCCCAGCTACTCAGGAGGCTGAGGCAGGAGAATTGCTTGAACCCAGGAGGTGGAAGTTGCAGTGAGCTGAGATCATGCCACTGCACTCCAGCCTGGGTGACAGAGCAAGAATCTATCTAAAAAGCAACAAAAACAACAACCAAAAAAAAAAAAAAATGCTGCAGTTTTAAATGTTAAAAAAGAATAAAAATCAGTTATCTAAGCTTCTATCTTAACAAGCTAGCAATAAAGGGTAAATGAAGCCCAAAGAAAACAAAGACCAAGTGATAGTAAAAATAAAAATATAAACCAATGAAAAAGAAAAACAGAGAAAAGTTAACAAAAATTAACAAAATCAACATTTGTGTAAAATTATTAATAAATTTAATAACCCCCTAGCAAGACTGGTTACAGACAAAAAAGAGAAAACAGAAATTACAAACATCAGAAATGAAAAATAAAAATAAGACATCATATTACAGATATTAAAAGGATAGTAAGGGGCTATTATGAACAACTTTATGACAATAAATCTGACAAATTACATAAAATAAATAAATTTTGACAAGACACAGTTCCACTTATAGAAAGTATATTTCTTCTTTATGATACTTACAGAAAGATATAGTGACAACTACAGAAAGATTTAGAAGAAGGAGGCTCTAAACAGCTCCACATTCATTGAATAAATAGAGCTCAATATTTTAAATCTTCAGGAATAGATGTATAGATGTCTCCACTGGTGAATTCTACCAAACATTTAATGAAAAAAAAATAATCCTAATCCTAATCATAAACTGATATGGTTTGGCTGTGTCTCCCCCCCCAAATCTCACCTTGAATTGTAATAATCTCCATGTGTCAAGGGCAGGCCAGGTGGATAAAATTGAATCATGGGGACAGCATCCCCATACTGTTCTTGTGGTAATTAATAAGTCTCATGAGATCTGATGGTTTTATAAATGGGAAATCCCCTGCACAAGCTCTCTTGCCTGCTGCCATGTAAGAGATAACTTTGCTCCTCATTCACCTTCCAACATGATTGTGAGGCTACCCCAGCCATGTGGAACTGTGAGTCAATTAAACGTCTTTCTTTTATAAATTACCCAGTCTTGAGTATTTCTTTATTAGCAGCATTAGAACAAACTAATACACAAACTCAACCAGAAATAAAAGTGGGAGGGAAAACTTCCCAATTCATTTTATAAGGCCAGCATAACCCTAACACCAAAATCTGAAAAAGACACTAAAGAAAATTGTAGACCAATATCCCTCATAAACATATACTCAAAAATCTTTATTAAAGTATTAGAAAATAAATAAGGTTAAGAGCTCTGTTGTATAACATGGTGATGTGACTACAGTTAATAACAATGTATAATATTTTTGAAAATTGCTAAGAGAAAATATTTTAAGTGTTCTCATCACAAAAATAGGTGAGGTAGAGCATATGTTAATTAGTTCAATTTAGCCATTCCACAACCTATGTACATATTTTGATAAATCACACAATATATAAGACATACGATTTGTATTTGTCCATTTAAAAACTAATGGGTGACTATAGTTAATAATTTTCTGAATGTTCTCACTACAAAGAAATGATAAATGTTTGAGCTGATGGTGTGAAAGGAAAATAAATCTCAGTACCCCAAAATCACTAAGCTAAAGGGAAAAGTCAAGCTGGGAACTGTGTCAAGCAAACCTGCCTCCCATTCTATTCCTAAATAAGACAGCAACAGAGATTAAAAGAAAAAGAAAAAAAGCTACGTAACTCCCTCACAATTTGTCCATAAAAAAATTCCCTGCTTCAAGTTGTTTTCCCCCCACCCTTCCAGACCAAACCAATGTACATCTTACATGTACTCATTGATATCTCATATCTTCCTAAAATGTATAAAACAAAGCTGTGCCCCAGCTTAAAACAAAACAATATACCTATTATCAAAGTTTCAGAAGGAGAAGAAAGAAATAAAGAAAAAATGTATTCAAAGAAATAATGGAAGAAAACTTCCCAAGCCTGGGGAAGAAAATAGATATCCAGGAAGTCTAAAGACACAAAATAAGATGAATTCAAAGAGATCCACATTGGGATACGTTACAATAAAATTGTCAAAACTTAAAGGCAGAGAGATTTTTGAATGCAGCAAGGGGAAAGGTGACTTGTTAAGTATGAGGGAACCTTCATAAGACTCTCAGTGGATTTTTCAACAGGAACCTTGTAGGCCAGAAGGGAATGGGAGAATATATTCAAAATGAGAAAAAAAAAAAAACCTGCCAACCAAGGATATTATACCCTATCTTTGAAAGATATCTTTGAAAGAAATCCTATCTTTCAAAGATGAAAGAGAGATAAAGACTTTCTCAGACAAACAAAAGCTGAGGTAGTTCATTCACCAATAGATCTGCATTACAAAAAATGCTAAGGAGAATTCCTCAAGCAAAAAAAAAGTTGCTAATTAGTAACATGAAAAACATACAAAAGTATAAAAGTAACTGGTAAAAGTAGGCATATAACCAAATTCAAAACACTCAAATACTGTAATGGCAATATGTAAATCAATTATATTCTCTAGTACAAATATTAAAAGACCAGTCTATTAAAAACAGCTATAGTTATAATAATTTGGCAAGGAATATAACTTTTAAAACATGTAAAACGTGATATCAAAAACATAAAATGTGGAGGGAGGTAAAGTAAATGTGTAGAGTTTCTGTATGATCAAAATTAAGTTATCACTTTTAAATAGCCTTTTATGCATATAAGATGTTTATGTAAGCCCCAGTGTAACTACAAGGCAAAAGCCTACAGTAAATACACAAAACATAGTAAGATTCAAAGCATACTACCACACAAAACCATCAAAATACAAAAGAAGAAAGTACGAGTGGAAGAAAGAAACAAAGGATATATAAAACAACAGAAAACAATGAAGAAATGGCACTAGTCAGTCCTTACTATCAATAATTACTTTGAATACAAACTAAATCCTCCAATAAAAAGGCATAGAGTGGAGGAATGTACATAAAAAATAAGACCCAACTACATGCTAAACCCTAGAGACTCATTTCATCTTAAAGAACACTCATAGACTGAAAGTGAAGGGATGAAAAAAGATATTTTTTTCAAAAAGGGAAACCAAAAGAGAACAAGGGTACTTGTATCACACAAAATAGATCTTAAACTTAAACTTAAGTCAAAAACTCTAAAAAGAGACAAAGAGGGTCATTATATACTGATAAAATGGTCAATTCATCAAAAATATATAAAAATTGTAAATATATGTGCTCCCAACATTGGAACACCTTAACATATAAAACAAACAATAAGAGATTTGAAAGAGATATAGACTACAATATTATAATAGTAGGAGATATCAAAATCTCACTTGCAACAATAGAGAAATCATCTAGACATAAAATCAGGAAACACTGGCCTTCTGGGTTTGAACTATGTTTTAGACCAAATGGACTAACAGCTGAAGAACGTGCATTCTTCTCAAGTGAACATAGAATATTCTCCAGTTAGAGTATATGTTAGGCAACAAAAGTGGTCTTAACAAATTTAAGAAGATTGAAATAATATTAAGTATCTTTTCTGACCACAATGGTATGAAACTGCAAATCAGTAATAGAAGAAATCATGGAAAATTCACAAATACGTGAATATTTACACAATATGTTCCTCAACAACTATTGGGTCAGAAATGAAATTAAGGGGAACTTTAAAAAACATCTTGAGATAAATTAACATGGAAATACAGCATATGAATACATAAGGAGCACAGTAAAAGCAGTTCTAAAAGACAAGTTTATACGTTCATAGTAAGGACTTACTAGTGCCATTAAATGCCTACATTAAAAAGAAAATAAAGATCTCAAACAACTGAATGCTACACCACAAGGAACTTGAGAAAGAAGAACAAATTAAGCCCAAAGTTAACAGAAGAAAGGAAATAACAAATATATAACAGAAATAAATGAAATGGAGACTAGGAGACTAGAAAAACAAGATAAAAGGTTAACAAATCTAAGAATTGGGGTGTTTTAAAAAGATAAACAAAACTGATAAACTCCCAAGGCAGACAATATCCCTGGTGAATACAGACACAAAAATCCTCAGCAAAGTTTTATTAAATCAAATTCAGCAGTACAGAAAAGGCATGATACAGCATGATAAATGAGATATATCTCAGAAATGCAAGATTGGTTCAATCTTTAAAAGTTAATCAATGAAATTCACCATATCAACAGATAAAGGAAAACTATATTATCATATTAATAAATATGCAAAAAGCATCTGATACACATCAACATCCATTCATAACAACTCTAAGCAAATTGAAATAGAAGAAAAATTCCTCATTGTAATAGGCATATATTTTTAAAACCTACAGCTAAAGTCAAACTTAATGGTGAAAGATTGGATAATTTCCTCCTAAGAACAAGAAACAAGAAGAGGCATCTGTTTTCACATTCCTATTAAATATTACACTAGACAGATCCTAGCCAACGCAATCATGGGAATGGGTGAGAGAAATAAAAGACATACTAATTAGAAAGAGAAAAAAGAAAACTATCTTTTTTCACAGATGACTATATACATAGAAAAGCCCAAACAGTTTACCAAAAAAGCTACTAAACCTATTGAGTTCATTAATGTTCCAGAACACAAGGTCAACATGCAAAAATCAATTACACTCTTATGATTATGAATAATCAGAAATGTACAATTTGAAAGGACCTTGTGTGTATGTGTGTATGTGCACGTGCATATGCATATGTGTGTAAAATAAAATATAGGTTTGTAAGCTAAAAACTATAACAACATTGTAGAGAAAAATCCAAGGTGAGCTATAAGGAGAGAGAGGTTGTGTTTATGGATCAGAGATTCAACATTGTTAAGATTTTGATTCTCCCTAAATTGATTTATAAATTTAACACAGTTCCAATAAAAATCGCAGAAATTCTAAAATTTGTAAAGGAAAATTAAAAACAAGAAGATTTACAACAATGTTGAAAACAAATGATATTAAAATATTCAAACTACTTAATTTCAACTTTCAATAAAGCTATAGTAATCAAAACAGTATAATAATAATGAAAGAACAGACCCATAAATCAATAAAACAATAGAGAGCACAGAAATAGACCCACATACACATAGTCAATCGACTTTTGACAAAAATACAAAGGCAATTCAAGAAAGAAAGAATTTGTGTCTTCAACAAATGGTACTGGAACAATTAAACATACGTTTGCAAAAACAAAAAAAAAGTGAATCTCCACCAATATAAAATCTTCATTTATATAAAATTTAACATGAGTAATAGCCCTAAATATAAAATCTAAGACTATAAGACTTCTATAGAAAAAAGAAAAAGAAGAAAATCTTTACAACATGGGTTTAGGTAAAGGTTAGGTCAGACCAGGTAGAAAAAAGCAAAAAAAAAAAAAAA